AAAGCCCCGTCTTCCCTGAACTCCTACTTCATTTTACACAGTGGCCTAATCCTCTTTTGGGAGACTTCACTCTTTTGAAATTTTGGTAAAACATCAAGGTCAAGGGTTAAAAAATCATAGCATGTTGGGAAACATCTTGTTATGGGTAATGTACACGTGAAATGTGAAAGTCGTATCTCTTCTTAATCAAAAGGAAATACAACATTATTGAAAAGAAAGTTAAACTTCAAGTCAAGGTCACAGAGTCAAAAAGTCATTCTCTTCTCATTCAAAATATATGACTATGATGACCAAGGTTAAATTTATTGTGACAGATGGACAGATTGACAAACAAATGAGATTTAATGTCCCCTACCTTTAGCGAAAATGGGGGACAATAAATGTCCTTGCTGTTCTTAAGAAGATTTATGTTGAAAAAAGTCCCCTGCATATTTACATGTAAATTGGTTGAAATTGGCCCAGTGGTTCTTAAGAAGTTAAGAATGTGAAGAGTTTGCAGACAAACAGATGGACGACAGAAAACAGTACATTTCAGAAAACAGTATGCTTATAAATAGTTAATCAAGGTGCTTTGGGTAGCAAAATAAAGCTAAACTGGTATATCTAATTCATCCGCAGAGCTTAGTATATCTTTATATGCACAACCTTTTCAACTCTTATAATAATTATTTCTAAAATATTTATATCACCATGTCTGATTCAAGGGAGAACTAGAGATATGACCAGAAGTATATCTGTTGAATATAAAATATGTACATGTATACTGTGTTTTTTTTTATTAATTTGTTTGTGTGTTGTGACAGCAACTGTTATGGCAGCTTTTGGCAAAGGTTAAAGTTTCTCAAATGTAAGTCAAACTCCAAGGTCAAGGTCAAAAGGGTCAAAATTGTTGGTATCAAAGGGAAAGTCTTGTCACAAGGAATACACATGTGAAATAAGAGAGAAATCCTCAGTACTTCCTCACCTGTTAAAAAGTTATTGCCAAGGTTAAAGTTAAATTGGATTCAACTCTAGGGTCAAGGTCAAAAATATTTATACCTGTTGAAAGTTCACAATGATTACACATGTTATGCATGAAAGTCCTAGCACCAACTGTTCAAAACTTAGGCCATTAAGTTTAAGCTATTTTTTCTTGTAAAAGTGGGTCAAACTCCAAGGTCAAGAGATCAAGAGTTCAAAATCAGTGGTACCCATTAAAAGGTTTTGCCAAAAGAAATTTACCAATGAAATGTGGAAGCCATGCATGTGTATTGCCCAATCCACTTAAAACTTATGGGCAAGGTTAAAGTTTCTGTGGACAAACAAACAGACATAAACACAGGAAACAAACTATGTATATGTAGTCAAATGGAAAGATTTTCTATTATTATGGAATCATAAGATCAATTGTCATTTCAAGTACAGGGAGTCAGTGGCTAGGGAGATCAGAACCCCCCCCCCTGGAATTTGCTGTTATTTAAATAAGACTATTTACTGAAGAGAATAAAAATGACTTTGGACATCCTCCCCCTTAGAAAACATGGACCCCAACATCATTGTTTTTATTATTATTTTTTTATTTGCTTCTCAGGAAATCTTAGACTGGATTTTTTTTGACTGAGGTGTGACATCCCCCCCCCTTTCCGAAAAAAGAAAAAAAATTCTGGATCTACGCCTGTATATACTGAATGTCCGCAACGGGAGATAACTTTGTCGACTGAGGCATGCGATGATCTTTGACCCTTTTTGAACTTCAACCTAACCATTTGCATTTATTTATTTTTATGCAATCTATACTAAATCCTTGTACTTACCGAATGTCATAGGTCCCGCAACGAAGTCATGAAATATAATCCATATAATCCAATTAAAACACAAATAATTTTAACTAACCACACCGCACCGTCAGCATACATGTGCTAAATAATCTTATTCCGCAAACCTTTACTGATTCCGTCACCTTCATTAGATGAAGTATGAATCGGCCGAGGTGTGCCGAGTGGTGATATCTAAAAATATGATAATGGGTGACGCAAACCCAATGTGAATGTAGAAATTTTCAATAGGATGTTCACACGTAAAACTGTTCAGTACAAGAACAAATTTCAAACTGTCATAATAAACGATGTTTTAACATAACTTTGCCATCTACGTCTATTTTAAAAACTGTGTGTGTGTGAGAGAGAGAGAGAGTGTGTGTGATGGTGGGGGGGGGGGGAGAGAGAGATAAGCACTGACAAATTAATTGGGTTGTATTTTCAATGGGGTTTTTTTCCTGACAAAATACTAAAAGCAGTTTGCACATTTTGATAAATTCATCAAAAACGCTTTGTACTAAAATAATATTTTATGTCGTTGAGAAAGTAAATTTAAAAAGTTCCAAATTATGGGCAAAATATTTATCAGAATCTAATTAAGTAATTTACTTCATTAATTAAATTCTGTTATTTCAGACTGGTAATGAATTTAGTATACAAAATACATATAAGGCTCATAGATCATATGGTCACCTGAAAATTTTATGCTCAGTTTGACGAATAAATGTACGGTGATAATTTTAGAATTATTTTGACTTTTTCCTTCGAAAGTCCAATATGAAGGAGTGTGTATTTAGAGGCAAACACCTTAGTGCGGGTATTACTGTCTCATGACAGCATCTAGTTTACAAAAATTGTTTTATTTTAACTTTGCCATTTAGGCATCTCATCATAAAGAGGCAAATATGGTGTGTTTGTGTGATAAATCGTTAGTCCATTACTTTTCAAATAGATGTTTCTGTCGTCTATCAGACTTAAACAAAACATATATTGTTTGTTGATGGGAGAGGGGTGGGGGTTGACTAAATTGATTAGGTATATGGCAGCTTTCAAGGAGTTTCTGCCTAATCAAATATTTAAAAAAGTTTGCACATTTTGAAAAATTCATCAGAAACGTTTAACACTAATTTGAATAATATTATTTGTTGTTGATCGATATGAGAAAATAAATTTAAAAAGTTCCAGTTATGGGCCAAAAAGTTTTGTCCCCCTTTATCAAACCTAATTTACATCATTAATTAAATTCTGTTGTTTAATTTCAGACTGGTAATGAATTAAGAATATGAAATACATATAAGAGGCTCATGGGGCACTTGGTCACCTGAGCATATTATGCTCGATTTGATGAATGCATGTATTATGTAAATTATTGAAATATATTGACTTTTTTCCTTGGTAAAGTCTTATATGAAGGAGTGTGCATTTAAAGGCAAACACCTTAGTGCGGGTATTACTGTCTCAGGACAGCATCTAGTTAGATTTTTACAATTAATATAAACTTGTTTCATCATGTATCATCTTTTAGTGATAAATCGTTAGTCCATTACTTTTCAACTAGATGTTTCTGTTGTCCATCAGACTTAAACAAATCATATATTCTTTTTGATCCATTTTTATCTTGATACAAATCTGTTACAAATTCAGACTGGACTGGTCTTATTGCTGAAGAAGCATCCAGACGTTTTACACAACTAAACTGGGTGCATCTATCAGATAACCTTATCTATAGAAAAGTCGTTGTAGTGTGTAATAAATTACACTTGTTTGAGTCAGATTATAAATGAGTTTTTTTTAAATGTATACCGGCAAAAGAAAGAAATAAAAATTCTACTGTAAATCTTATAGGTTTACTCTATCTACCCAGGACGACGTCATAGCCTTATAAAATATTTTTTTCAGTGTTTCAAGTAGATATACGTAAAATTTCTTGAGATAAAATGATAGTACGTGTTTTATCATTTAGGAGAAACTATCTAAGATATCAATGCCAAACTTTTTAAAATAATATTGTTAAAACTGTTATGTACTTTTCTAATGGCTTTTCTAACAACTTAAAGAAATGCCTACTGGTCTTGTCATTGCAATCTCCCCTTGAAAACCAGTAAATAGTGTATCTGTACAATGTTGTTGTTGGCAAACCTCCAATCGAAACTGAAAATAGAGATATCTTGTCTTTCCGATTTAGAAAAACTATAATACAAGTATTGGCACGAAAGAAATAGTTGTCAAACTGCCAAACTAAAACTGGGTGGACCCTTGGAATTTGATATACCTGCGTTTTCGAGTTTAATTTTTGAAAGGATGATTTGAGAAATTGAGCAGTGCCTTTTTTTTCCCCTTTATAATTCATAATTTTTTCTTATAATTAGATATAGAAAAAAAAAGAAAATGCGCAATTGTACTAAAAACAAAAGAACCTCATTTCATTTTTTACCCATGGTCTCTAATACAGTGTTATATAACAAATTAAATTCTTGGAAATATCTGATCTGACATTATTTTTAGAGTAAACTTCTCTGTACTCATTTTTACCTAATGAAAAAAATCTAATATGAGACAATATTAAATTATAAAGAATTCTACATGTTCCTTTAGACCTATTATCATGTTCATTAGTTAGTATTTCAAACTAAGGTTTAAATCAGCCCGTACATTTCGATTAACAAATCAATAGTCTCAAATCTACGAACTCCACATTCATGAAAGTATAGATCCAGTGAGATTGCAAGGGATTTTTTATGATAAAGACTGCGAATGATGAGCATAAAAAGAGTGCATTTAATGTATATTAAAATACTTAGAAAAAATTCTCTTACTAACTCTTTTTCTTTGAAATTACAAATATAATTTGAATACTATTCAACTTTTTTTGATAGAAAATAAGAAAAGTAAGTGTTTGGAAATTGATGCATCAATCATATGAATCCATTATGAGACATTTTATTATTTTTAATTTAGGTATTTGATATTCGTGAAAGATATCTATTTGTTCATATTCTGATCTTTTATTTCGCGATCTTTTTCCTTTCAAAACTTTGTATGAGCTGCCGAAAACATCAAAACACTTAGGTCAAAAAATCTAATCATATATGATTACAATTTGGTATATATTTTTTGTCACGTGCATGTTTATACCTAATCACAGGTTTTGGTACATCTTCTAACGAAACTTAAGCTTGTACATCTACATGAAATAATACTTACTTATATCGGTCTTCAGTTTCTCGGTATAACTGTTGACAACTCTCTACACTTTGACCGATTATGAACAGAATCTACATATATTTTTACCTGTAGGTTATTTCTATTGGGTAGCATTCTAGTGATAAACGCCCCAATAAATGTCACACATAATTTGGAACCTCTCCAATCATAGACGTTCCTGACTTTAACCTTTTGCAGATCAGTTTTGAACATTGTACAAGTCTGTCGATAACTAGGATTTTAGTGTTTTAAAGAAAAGAATATAAAGAGACAGACTTTGAGTTTTTTAAGAGTCCACGTCATCATACGTTTTTTTTTTCTAAAATTCTACACTCACATTTGTATTGAATATATCTAATTTTGAAATTAATCACAGATGCGAAAAAAATGTAATTTTCTACATTTTTTATTTTATTATTCAAAATTTAGAACAAATGCACAAACTAGTTATCTAAATACATGTAATGAATGATATTGATACATAGAAAGAAAAAGAAAAAAATAATCAATGATATATATTATAGTAGAATAATGACGAATCAGAAAAAAAGATACATTTCTCAGGGTCAAAACTTTTTAAACAAAGTATTTGGTTGCTGTACACGATTTCTGCCAAAACTTGTTTATCTAACTCTTTTACAAATACCGATGACAAGGCGGTTAATTTAAAAGTCATTGAAGAATAGGCATGAATACAATCAATAAAATGCATCAATTTGTGTGTAATCTTACAAGATTAAGATAAATTTACTGTTCTTGTAGTCTTTGTCACTGAACTGACATACATATAGTATATACAATTTAAAAAAAATGATATGTATAATAATGAACAGAATTTAAACCCCTTAAACATTGAATGATCGAGGTAAGAAATTTTATCTGTTTGAATCTTTTCAATTAAAACTGAAAATAAGCATGACTCTTCTTTCCGATTTAAATATCCATAAAATTCAATTTAGGTATGAAAGGATTGTTTGTTGCATTGTCAAACTCAAATTGATGTCAAAGATTGGATATTGATAAAACCTGTTTTATGGCAATTTTAGGAAAATTTGTTTTTTAAATAAACAGTGAAGAAAATAAGGTAGCCTTGACGTTCATATTTTTTAATATAAAATATTTTAATAAGTTATAGAAATCAAGACAATGTGCATCGTACTGATAATAAAAAAAACTGTCTGGTGCCCTGTTTGTGGGAATAACTTTATGTATAATGAAGTAAATTCTTCCTGAGAATAATCAATTTGAGGTAAAATTACATGACTGTGTTTTGATTAAATATTTTAAACACACGTACTTAATGATCAAATGAAAGGAATAGTAATTGATTATTTATTTGTGCACATAAAAGAATGACATTTATCGATAGATGTACAGCTTGAAACCTTAAACAAATATCGTGTATTTTGCACAATGTGACATTAGTCTTAATCCTGACATCCACATCATATTCGCAAAACACTAAGCTGCATACGTCAGAATATCCAGGATCGTGTTTCTTTTAATTCTAATTTTTTTGAAGAAAGCTATTCAGGTCAATTACTTAGTTGCATTCAAAAGTTTACATCAGAAGCATCAACATGGTTAAATACAGTGCAGGGTGTTTAAATGCTCAAAAGACAAGGAAGTAAGTCAAAAGAGATGGTGCTTTTTAGCTCACCTGAGCCGAAGGCTCAAGTGAGCTTTTCTGATCAAAATTTATCCTTTGTCGTTGTCGTCGTCGTCGTTGTAAACTTTTCACTTTTTCATCTTCTTAAAAACCACTGGGCCAATTTCAACCAAACTTGCCACAAAGCATCCTTAGGTAAAAGGGATTCAAGTTTGTTCAAATGAATGGCCACACCCTTTTCTAAGAGAGATAATTATGAATTAGAGAAAAATTAATGGCATTTAAAAAAAAATCTACTTCTAAAGAACCACTGGGCCAGGAAAGATGAAACTGATGTGGAATCATCCTCAGGTAGTGTAAATTCAAGTTTGTTCAAATTATGACCCTAAGGGGTAGGTGGGGCCACAAAGGCTGATCAATTTTTTACATAGGAGTATATAGAAAAAAATCTTTAATAAGTCTTCTCAAGAACCATTAGGCCAGGAAAGATAAAACTCATGTGGACTCATCCTCAGGTAGTGTAGATTCAAGTTTGTTCAAATCATGACCCCCGTTGGTACGGTGGGGCAAAAATGGCCGATTAAAGTTTTACATAGCAATATATAGGAAAAAATCTTTTAAAAATCTTGTTCTCAAGATCCATAGGAGCAGGAAAGATAAAACTAATGTGGAATCATCCTCAGTTTATTCAAATCATGACCTCCGGGGGTACGGTGGGGCCATAATGGCCGTTAAAAGTTTTACATAGGAATATATAGGGAAACCTTTTAAAATCTTCTTTTCAAGTACTTCAAAACCATGATTAATAATATTTATATGGAATCATCCGCAGGTAGTGTAGATTCTAGTTCGTTCAAATCATGATCCCCTGGAGGGTTAAAATTCAAGCCCCCCCCCCGCCCCCCCAACCTCAGTAAACTTTCAGTTTTGATCTGATATGTGCTTTTTCCTAGCCGATGTGCTCAGGTGAGCGCTGTGGTCCTTGAGATAGGGAGAAAAAATAGCATAAGGTTAGATCCATAAATCTTGATGATCGGGCGTCTGAGTACACCAGAGCGTATTCTTAATATTGTATTGTTTTATAGTATTACAGTGACGACACTATATATGAATACTCTCGCCCGAGATTATTCTAAAAAAAATTAAGGCACAGTTACAATTACAGACGGTCTGCAATGACAGACAAAACAAAAGAAAATTACTGCAGGTGAATTATAAAGTATGTTTAAGTACTATTCAAGCGGTGCATAGACACAAATGGGCTCAGAAGGATAAGCATTAAGCATGCACCGTTATTAAGTTTTCTTTCGGTGATCTCTTAAATTGTAGATAATTCATTTATCTCATCAATTATCTGATGTGCGTTTTGTTTATTCTCTTTCATTTATTATTACATGTGCATGTAGGTTTAGGTGCATGCAAAAGAAAACTTATTTTCAGTGTACATTCTTATTATGTAGCTAATACATATACAAGTCAGTAAAATAATTAGATATTTAGAATGCACCAAACACATAATCTTATTTTTCTTAACTACCTAAAAACACTTATATTGTTGTCGCCTTCGTGATGCAGTGGTTAAAGCGTCTGCTCTAACGTCGAGTGTAAGGAGTTAATCCTTACGTCACCGTATAAATCCGAAGTTAAAGCAAAGAACACACAAAATAGCTTTTGGAAAGAAGTACTGGATATATTTTCAGAATTTTTAAGTTTGGTAACATGCAACTTGAACCAGGGAGATATTTATTAGAACCTGTCTGGTATAACAATAAAATTATGGTTCAAAATAAGTATGTTTTTTTCAAAACCATTGGATAAAAAAGGATTTATTGTAGTTGGTGATTTATTTGACAATAATGGTAATTTTTTATGCTTTGATGATCTTGCCCAAGAATACTCCTTAAAGATTCCTTTTACTTTATAAAAAGAGCAATTTCGCATTCTTGGTCTAATATTAGAAATATAGGGATTAAATCTATCATGAGACCTTGTCTGCCAAAATTTGTGGAAATTCTCAACAAAGATAAAAAAGGTTCTAAAACAATTTATGATACATACATGACTCTGTGTATATATACTTCACCAACGTGTGAATCAAAATGGGCTAAAGAATTGCAGTTACATCAGGAATTTAACTTGAATTTAACTGGAAACTGATTCATAAAAAAATATTATTCAATAACAAAAGACACAAGACTTTTATGGTTTAATTTTAGAATTGTACATAGGATTCTTGGTAAAAATAAGTACTTATTTTTGTCTAAAATTAAGGAAAATGAGCTCTCTATGTTCTTTATGTCAGCAAGATGTTGAATCAATTACACATATTTTTTTTATTGTCCCAAAGTAAATCCAATTTGGTCTCTTTTAGAAGAATGGATATTTGAAAAACTGGAAAAATAATCAAATTTGATGTATGTACAGTTATACGCGGCTCTTCAACAGAAGACACAGCTATCAATCTTATATTGTTACTTATTAAACAATACAATACAATACATTCTCTTTGGAAAGTTGCATTGTTTTTCTTGAAATTTTCTCTGTTTTTTTTTCCAGATTAATTTATAAAAAAAGTTTTTTTTTCCAATTCTTTTATCCACTTTTTATCCGGCTTTGGGAGAACAGTAAATAAATGTGTTAGTTTGCATAAGAATATACTTTTTATTACTGTAACCTTCCCTAGTGGAGTTAAATTTCTTTTTGACCAAGAAGTGGTTTCCTTTTTAATGTTTTGAAGACATTTCTCAAAATTAAATTGTTCCATATTTTTTTAGGTCAGCAGTATATGTGATACCAAGAACTGAAAAAGGTTCCACTGTCCACTGAATTCCTGTTTCATTACATAGAGTTTTTCTGGACTTTATTTCAGAACCTATTCATATTGATTTTGTTTTGGTAATATTTGGTTTAAGTCCTGAGAATTTTGAAAATTGAAAAGATTTAAGGCACTTTTTAGGCTTTTTTCTGAACCATCTAAAAACATAACTGTGTCATCTGCATATTGAAGTGAACATATTTTTTCCTCACCTATTTTTATTCCTTTTATATTTTTATTTTGTCTAATCATATATCCCATAATCTCTACATAAAGGTTAAATATATATGGAGAGACAGGATCTCCTTGGCGACAACCTCTACCTATTTTGAAGAATTGTGAAAATATACGTTTTGAATTACACATAGTTGAGTTTGATTATATAGTACTTGTATCCACTTGATAAGGTCAGGACCAAAGTTAAAAGTCTTTAGTGTTTTGTACATAAATTTCCATGAAACCGAATCAAAAGCCTTCTCAAAGTCAATGAGTAAAATAATTCCTGGTATATTTCTTGTCTTTGTACTTTGAAGTACATCGTAGATAATACGTGTATTTTCACCAATAAATCTATTCTTAAGAAAACTTTTTTAATTGTCGTGTATAAGATAATCTAATACGCATTTTATTCTAT